GGGGCCTTGGGCCTTCTTTTGGATGTTCTGGGTCTCTCTGACCCAGCTGTAGTTTGTTAGGTAATTTTAGATTGCAAAGGGCCAGCCCACTCATATGCAAAAGCCTCTGCGCACAGCTTGGGTGGGGCGGGGTCTCAGGGAATCAACAGGGCGGAGCAAACAGCTATGGCTGATCCTCAGTCCTGCCTAAGAGGCCCCGGGTCTCACCTCTGAGAGAAAGCCTCCCTCGAGTTCAGCCCAATGCCAGACAGTCCAGTTTCTTCCCGTATGTCCCCAGAGACTCACCTGGAACTGGAGTTCAGAGCAGTCGGGAGCTTGTGTCTCCCTCCGGATTGAAAAAGACAACCGCGTCCTCAGCTGCCAGCCCTTTCGGCATGCGCCTCCGTACCTCTGCACTTTACTTCCGCACCTCCTCTGAGTCTCAGTGTGCTTTTCTCTTTCCTTCTAGTTGTAGAATTTCCACTCAGCCAGCCTTCCTGTGGTTCTGGGTAATGTCCGTTTTGTCTTTTAGTTGTATTTTTGAAGTGTTTGTGTGAGGCAGCAATTTCCGGTGTTTACCCATGTCGCCATCTTGGTTCTCTGTTCTGTATACATTTTTATAATTTAATTCTTCATTGTAGTAAACTTGTCACTACAACAAGGATTTAAAGCAGCGGTTCTCAACTTGTGGGTCGCGACCCCTGAAAATATATCCTGCATACCAGATATTTACGTTACAATTCATAATAGTAGCAAAATTACAGTTATGAGGTAACAATTAAAATAATTTTATGGTTGGAGGTCACCACAACATGAGGAACTGTATTGAAAGGTTACGGCATTAGGAAGGTTAAGAACCACTGAAAAGGAATAGTAGTTAATGATTTATCTAAAGCGGAAAAAAAAATCAATGATATAGCAAGGACTGGATTGAATAATTTGAGCTTCTAATGCATTATTTATGGATGGTCACTTTCATTGAAACTATTTTTAGATACCCTTGGTAAAGTAGATCTCTTTAAACAAATAATGCTGACTATATGCTAAGTATCAAGAGAAGGTCAGGTTGAAATTTTGGTCGATTTTTTTGGTATCTGAATTTAAAATTCTATGTAATTTGTATGTTTTAAATTTGTTGTATTTTTTTTCCAGTATTTCCTTGTGTACCAGAACGTCCTGGAATGCCCTGTCCAGGAGAAGATAGTGAGTGTTTATATACTTCATACCATCGAATAAGGTTTTTTATGACACAGTGGCACAAGTGAAAGGAAATCAGAAATAGAACGTTTAATTCCTTTGGTTTCTTTTCCATCCTTTAGTCTAATTTAGAGTATATTAGGAACTGCCTAAATTTTGCTTTGCCATAGCAAAATTAGGCAGTTCTTAGTTATAACTTACTGACATATTTATCTATTCTGCATTTGAAAGGAAAGTTAAATCATATTTCTTCTGTTTTTTTAAAAAAATATATATTTTATTGATTTTTTACAGAGAGGAAGGGAGAGAGATAAAGAGTTAGAAACATCGATGAGAGAGAAACATGGATCAGCTGCCTCTTGCACATCTCCTACTGGGGATGTGCCCGCAACCCAGGTACATGCCCCTGACTGGAATCGAATCCAGGACCCTTCAGTCCGCAGGCCGATGCTCTATCCACTGAGCCAAACTGGTTTCGGCTCTTCTGGGTTTTTAATTTTGGAAAATTTCAAACTTATGGAGAAGTTGAAACAACATTGAAAACAAAGGTACCCATATATCCTTTGCCTAGATTCACCGATTTTTAACATTATCTGTGTTTGCTCTACCTCTCTCTCTGTATGTGTGCACACATATGCATACATGTATATACATAGGAAACACCTGTTTTATTTTTACTTATAGTTGCTGTATCATTTGAGAGTAAGTAATGGACATAACACTTCACCTCTAAGCATTTCAGCATGCATCCTTAGGCGTTGTTACAGGATTTTCTTCTGAATGTCTAAGCTAGTGATTGTTATTAATGAATGAATTGAAAGAGTCAAACAGCTATTTGTCCTGATATAATTTGAATATGCAAACTATATATGAGCATAATTTATTGCTTTTGCTATATGGTATAATTTATTAGTTGTGGATATCAGGCAACTCATTTTCATTTGTGGTTTCTACACATATCCATGACTTTAGAAGGAATTGTGGTAAATATTTTGTTTTTAATTAAATGAAGTAGTTCTAACTTTAAAAAAAATTTCAAATTTTTTAATTGATTTTTTTTTTTTGGAGAGAGAGGGAGGGGGAGAAGAGAGAGGGAGAGAGAGTAATAGCAATGTGAGAGAGAAAAATTGATCTGTTGCTTCCCACTTGCACCCCAATTGAGGATTGAACCCATAGTCTGGTACCCTGAATGGGAATCGAACCTGCCACCTTTTGGTGTACAGGACAACACTCCAACCACTGGGTCACACAGGCCAGGGTTGTAGTTCTAACTTTTAATTCTATGACTCTCCGTGCAACTTGGTAAGAAGAAAAAAATTAAAGAACTATGGGTGTTCGTATATAAAGTTAAATGGAGCCATCTACTATGTAGGAAAGTGGTGAACTATAACAGATAGAACTCTGAGCAGTAGTGAAAAATGTAGGTTTGTATTCAGCTAGGAATAGTTCTCTGGATTTCCAGGGGCAGGTGGATTAAAGCCGGCGTAGGCTGCCTTCACAGAGCAAGTGGCCATTCTCTTTGGCCAAGCCCGGGTTTTGAAAGACTTGCCATGTGGCAGATCTTGGTTTTAGAGTTCCATCTGCCATTGTGTTATGGGTCTGCAGCATACAGATAGAATATTTCCTAACTTTTTCACTATATTTCATGCTCACTTTCCCGCTTTAAAATTTGCTGGTGGAGATTTTGACACTACCCCTTCTATAGTATAATAAATATGAACAAACTAGAGCAGAGGGGAAATTGATAACCATTAATGTGGTCTCTTGGCTCTTAATTTCTAGCCAACATTAACATGTTTAAATTTAAGAAATATCAAGATGTAGTTCATGAAAGCTGAAATAGAATGTTCTTTCAGCTTTGGTTACTCCTAACAGAATAAATAATTAAAAATAAAACATCTAGGCGTGGCTCAGTAGTTGAGTGTCAACCTATGAACCAGGAGGTCACGGTTCGATTCCCTGCCAGGGCACGTGCCTGGTTGCAGACTTGATCCCAATGTGGGACGTGCAGGAGGTAGCCTATCAGTGATTCTCTCTCATCATTAATGTTCCTATTTCTCTCTCCCTCTTCCTTCCTCTCTGAAATCAATAAAAATATATTTAAGTAAAAATAAAACATCTATATTTAAGGTTATATATTACACTATCTCAAGATTTCTAATTCAGAGCATTCCAATTGGTCTTTTCTATTTAAATTTTAAATAGTAAATCCAGTGCTACATTTGCTTTAAAATGAGGTTAGAAACCTAATGGAATCTTTCCACAGTATTAACTATTATTATGGAATATTTCTTAATGACCAATAGACAATATATATATAATAGTGATTGACTTAAAACCAAAATTTCACAGGTAGTCTAAAATGATTTTGTGGTAGTTCTTTGTTTAGGAAAAGCATTAATTTAAAGACAATTGGCTGAAAGGTTGTTGGGGAGGAGAATATTCTTGTGATTACAAAATGTCATTTAGATAGTTGTAAGATGACTTACAAAAAGGAAAATGTACCTTTACAATAAAGAGAACTAGCAATCACTGCCTTCAACAGAGTGAGCACCAGTAGTGAGAGTCAACAATTTGACATTTGTGTATTTCTTGATGTGTCACCCGTGTATTATTTTTGGCAAAATACTTATTACTGACTCTAATGACGAAACAGATAAGTCCAGAATGTAGAACCTAGGACAACTGCCTAGACTTAAAAAACAAAAAAAATTCCTCAACCTTATGGAAAACAAACAACAACATTGAGTGTTTTAGCATACATGAAAGAGACAAAAAGGTATAGCGTTCTTGCAATTATCATTTTCTAAACAGTGACAATCCAAATGCAGTGCCTGAATCTTGATTAGATCCTGAAGAGAAAAAGGACGCTATGAATGACACATTGAGGGCAAATAGAGAAATTTGCATCTGAACTTCATATTAGGTAATATTAGATTAATGCTAATTTTCTAAGACATGGTAATGGTATTGTGCTTAAGTGGAATTAGGGGGAATGTCCTTAATCTTAGGCAATGGGAGTTCAAGGGTGAAGTGTTAAAAGGATATCTGCAACTTACCTTTAAGTGATTCAGGAGGAAATGTATGTGTAAATAGAGAGGAAAGCAAGTGCTTGCTTAGGTAGTATATATACTGTGTCAAAATAAAATGTTAGTAATTGGTAAATCTTGGTGAAGGATGCAAGTGTTTATTGCAAAAACAGAAAAGTAATAATAGTTGCTGAAACATTTATATTCCATGGGCTATATTTTCATCAAGTCCCTTGATGAATCCAGTTTATTTTTTTCACTTTCAGGTTTTTATCGATATAAATTATTTTCTTGCTATCAATATCATGAAAAAAAGTAACAGACTTAATTATAATAATGATTTTTATACACACTTGCTCTTTTTTAAACTCTCAATCTCTTTTCAGAGTCCATCTACCGCAGAGGTGCACGCCGCTGGAGAAAGCTTTATTGTGCAAATGGCCACACTTTTCAAGCCAAGCGTTTCAATAGGGTAAACCTTAGTTTGTTGAATGTTGATAATTTGAGAAATCTATTTTTCCCCTCTCTATTATGAAAGAAAGGTAGTCTTGTTATTCCTCCTTAAAGGAGTAAGGTTGCCTAACATTCCCAGTTTATGCAGTACACCTGTTTTCTTGATGTAATTTTTAATAGAATCTCCTGTCACTCTTAAAAATGTTCCTGATTTGATGATTAGTTATATGGTTACCCCAGCTATAAGAATGTTGTATTTAAAATTTTTTTTTTCTTTATTGATTAAGGTATTACATATGTATCCTTATCCAGAATGTTGTATTTTTAAATATAACTCCAGATACTCATAAAATAAACAAGTTTTATTTTGCAAATCATTTAATATTGTAATTTTAATTTCCACTGCTTAGAAAATAATAATTGCAAACACTTCTCTGGCTTTTACTATGTTTCAGGCAATTTTCCAAATGCTTGACATATACTAATTCATTTAATCCTTACCACAATCTTGTGTGATAGGTGCAGAGCCAGGGTTGGAAAACATTTTATCTCCAGAAGTTCACATTTTTAACTATTCTTGATAACTATAAAACAATGGACTCCCGTTTCCATTTTAAAACTGGTGCCATGTTCCGAATTCATTAATGTAAATAGAAGTCACCACCCAAGGTACCACTGATAATTAAAAAGCTTTGACCCTGGCTGATTTGACTCAGTTGGTTGAGCTTTAGCCCTATGCACCAAAAGGTCATTGGTTTGATCCTGGTCAGGGCACGTGCCCAGGTTGTGTGTTGGGGTGTGTACGGGAAAAAGCTGACTGATGTTCCTCTCTCTTTTTTCTCCCTCTCCCTTCCTCTCTCTCTAAAATCAATAAAAACATATTAACAACAAAAAAAAGCTATAAAATGAAAAGTCACTTTAGGTATTGCTCTTTAAGAGAGCAGGGCTTTGGTTTGACTTCTGAACAGTCTGGAAGGTTTATTTTTGATTGAGAGTCCTTGAACCGTATTTTCTGCCATATGTTTTCTAAGTTTACTCACTTTTCCTATTTTTATAAATCTAAACCTAATTATATGAAAACTGAAAAGTCTTGGACTTATAACAGAAAATAACATGTTGCAAATTTCACTCTCTCTTTAGACAGTTTTTTTTTTATTAGTTTTTAGAGAGAGAGGAAGGGAGAGAGAAACATTGATGTGAGAATGAAACATCCATCTGCTCTCTCTTGCATGCCCCCTACTGGGGAGCAAGCCCGTAGCTTAGGCATGTGCCCTCACCTGGAATCAAAAAGGCAACCCTTCAGGGCACGGGACAACACCCAGCCAATTGAGCCACATGGGCCAGGGCTCACTGTCTCTTTAAAACAGACTCTCTTTTCTGTTTATTTTTCCCCAGACCATCATAGCTTTGAAAAAGTTATGTATGATGAAGAGAACTGAATTAGAGAAGAAAGCCACTGATTTTCACTATTTTATGAACAAACTGTTGGGGAATGATTATGACGTTTTTTTTGCTGTTTCACTGAATTCTTTTGAATTACTCTTTCCAGCGTGCCCACTGTGCCATCTGTACCGACCGGATATGGGGACTTGGACGCCAGGGATATAAATGCATCAACTGCAAACTCTTGGTTCATAAGAAATGCCACAAACTTGTCACAATTGAATGTGGGCGACATTCTTTACCACCGGTAAGACACAGTTGTCTTCTTTATTTTTAATAGAGCATTTTTTATAATGTTACTAGAACAGAGGTCTAAAGTGTGTGTGTGTGTAGGGGTGGTGGTGAAGGAATCACAACTCAACAGTGTTGTTACAGAATGTGGGTAGGAATATTTTACAGTCAGCTCACATATTGTGAATTTGGAAATTGTCATTACAAATTTGTTTGTAGGTTATAGTTTTATGTTTAGCCTGATATAAAATCCTCTGGTCTGAAGTAGGACGATATAGGGAGAAGCATTGAAGAGATTCTTTTCTCTCTCTTTTTTTAATAATATATTTTATTGATTTTTTACAGAGAGGAAGGGAGAGGGATAGAGAGTTAGAAACATCGATAGAGAGAAACATCGATCAGCTGCCTCGTGCGCACTCCCTACTGGGTATGTGCCCGCAACTAAGGTACATGCCCTTAACTGGAATTGAACCTGGGACCCTTGAGTTTACAAGCCGACGCTCTATCTACTGAGCCAAACTGGTTAGGGCTCTCTTCTTTAAGTTAACATCATTAGTTGATAGCTCCCATTACTCGAGCATAGACACTAAGCACAGATCAGGTAAGAACAGTGTTCACGTTTGCTATTTAAAGTATCAGATTAATTGGAGAGTTTTGCTTTTAAAATTTTTATTTTTCACTTTCTTTTGTTTCTTTGAATATATTTTTATTTATTTCAGAGGGGAAGGGAGGAGAGAGAGATAGAAACATCAACGATGAGAGAAAATCATTGATCGGCTGCCTCCTACACTCCCCCTACTAGGGATTGAGCCTGCATCCCAGGCATGTGCCCTTGACCAGAATCAAACCCGGGACCCTTCAGTCCGCAGGCCGACGCTCTATCCACTGAGCCACAGTGTCTAGGGCTATTTTTCACTTTCTTTTTAGAATCATCACTTGAGGATATTTTTCCATTGATTTTAGAGAAAGTGGAAGAGATAGGGAAAGGCAGAGAAAAATATAGATGTGAGAGAAACACATCAATTGGTTGCCTCCTGCACATGCCCTGGCCAGGGCCTCGGCCAGGGAGGAACCTGCAATTGACTCAAACCTTTGACTGGAATCGAACCCGGGACTCTTTGGCCGACACCTATCCACTGAGCCAAACCAGCTAGGGCAGTGATGGCGAACCTTTTGAGCTCGGCATGTCAGCATTTTGAAAAACCCTAATTTAACTCTGGTGCCGTGTCACATACAGAATTTTTTGATATTTGCAACCATAGTAAAACAAAGATTCATATTTTTGATATTTATTTTATATATTTAAATGCCATTTAACAAAGAAAAATCAACCAAGAAAATGAGTTCGCGTGTCACCTCTGACATAGGTTCGCCATCACTGAGCTAGGGCTTCACTTTCTTTTTTAAATATGCAATAAAAACATGTTCATTATAGAAAAAAATAGAGACTACAGATGAATAAAGAAAAATTAAATAAAAGTTTCCCATGAAATCTACCATCTAAAGGTCATTTGTATATATCTTTCCATAAAGATTTATATGTATAAATATTAAAAATTTTTCCATGTAGAAAAAATTTAAACATATATTAGAAGTAGCTGGAACCATGTAATCAACTTCCATAATACCAATCACCCTGCTCCAACAGTTATTAATGCACAACCAATCTTGTTTCACCTATACCCCGGCCAGTTTAACCCTGTGTTATGTTGAAACAAATCCCAGACATGTTTCAGAATGTACCTCTAACAATAAAGATTCTTTTTAAAAACTAAAAACCAAATTCCTTATGTCAGATATCCATCCAAGCAATGTTCACATTTTCAGTTGCCTCATAAATGTTCTGTTTTTATAATTTTCATTATGAATCAGGATCCAGATGAAGCCCATATTTGCAATTGATTGATATGTCTTCCCTATTTTTAAATATACCAATTCTCTCTTTATCTCCCTCTCTCCCCTTCTGTGTGTGTTGCTCTCTCACTCTTGCTCGCTCTCCCCCCCTCCCTTACAATTTAAGTGTAGAAGAAACTCTATTGTCATTTAGTTTTGCTTAATTTTTCTTTTGCTTTTTTCATGGTATTGTTTAAAATATTCCTCTTTCCTCTTATTTTCTGTATATTATCATTGGATCTAGAGGTTTGATTAGATAGTAGGCTTGGGTTTTATTTTTGTGGGTTATTTTTGAGACTACTTTATCAAAGGTGGAGTGTTTATCCATCAGAAGGCACATAATGTTTGGATGTCTCATTCTTTTACATGCTTTTTAACAAAAGTGAAATCATATGGGTAATGTTTTCTAACCCATTTTTCATACTGAGTAATATATTTTGTCATCTTTCTATATTTAGCTACCTATCTCCTCATCACTTTTAGCATAATATTTTGTTATATGTCAATACCATAATTTTTTTAACCTGTTCTTCATGATTGAACAGTGGAGTTGTTTTCTAAATTTTCCTATGAAGAAAATCATAATGAACTTACTGGTGAACAAATCTTAAGAAGAAGTATTGGGTTAAAGAATATGTGTATTTAAAAAGATCTGGATGCCTCCTTCTAAATTATGTTCTAGAATGATTATACCATGTTTACTCATAGTATCTTCTTTGAACAAAGATTATTAGCGGTGTCTCTTTGGTGTTAGAATTATGTAGCTGGTTCATATAAGCTTAGATGTGGGTTTGTACAAGTTATGGAGGTAAAAATCCAATCTTAAGGAAAAACAGAAGGCCAAAAAATATGAACATAATTTCTCCAGGTTACTATTGATATTTGTGTGCGTATTCCTAGGTGATGGATGACTTGTGTGAATTTATGAATGGAAAAACAAACAAACAAGAGGGACAGGGTTAGTGATAATGTTTAGAATAGGTGCTAAATGCAGTAAGAATTTCATGAGCCCTATCTTTAAGGCAGCCTTAAAATTATAAATGTATAATTAATGTTCCTTCTCAGGTTCACCTTTTCTTGCTGGAATTCATTAAATCTGGGTCCAAGATTGATGAATTAGTAACATTTTGGTTTGGATTAGTATTATCCTAGGTTATTGACAGTGGTTAAGTCAATTTCTAGGGGGTATTTCTTTTCCTTTTTTGGTTCACTGACACCTTCCCACAAAATTTTACATGGAATTTCAAGAGGTATATAGACATCTTGAAATCCATCTCTGGGCCTCAGCTAGAGAAGTCAAGTACTAGAGACTCCTCCCAGAGACTTAAAGTGTATATGGAGCTTGAAAGAAGATTAGGTAGTGTATAAGAGAAGTCAGAATATATAGGAGAATAATTTTTATTTCTATTTGATGGCCTGAAAGTAGTTTCGTGTGTTCCTTCTGTTATCTGTAAAATGTGACATTACCTCATTTACAGGAATATTATATGGTGTCAGATAGTAAAATTAAAAACAAATTAAATATAGTAATATAGTTCTCATTATAAGTAATATTTTGTCAAATTTATGTGTTAATATGATGTGTCTCATTAAAATAATGCTCCAGAATTTATAGAGTTACTGGGATTTAAAAAGAATCCACTAAGTTGCTGTTTCTTTGGAAATGTTTCTAGGAACCAATGATGCCCATGGATCCGTCATCCATGCACTCAGACCATGCACAAACAGGTAAAAATGACACTGTCATGAATTATTGTTCATTAAGAAAATATTGTTCAAAGACTTCTTTAAGTGACTCTTACACCTAAGTTTAAAAACATTTCTGTTCTACCCACATAAAAGCGAGGTAACCATATTTTATGGTGGTAATATCATCACAATATTTAACATACATTTGACATTTTAAAAAGACAAATATGTAAATTACAACAAATGACTATTTTCTCTAATTCAGGTTAATTTTGTTTAAGACCCCTTTAAATTCAGCAAACCTAGTTTGTTTGTTTTTTTTCAGTAATGAAACATACTGATTTTGTGGGCCATGTTGACTCTGTTAAAGTGACCTTTTTTTTTTTTTTTTTAAATATATTTTATTGATTTTTCACAGAGAGGAAGGGAGAGAGATAGAGAGTTAGAAACATCGATGAGAGAGATACATCGATCAGCTGCCTCCTGCACATCTCCCACTGGGGATGTGCCCGCAACCCAGGTACATGCCCTCGACCGGAATCGAACCTGGGACCTTTCAGTTTGCAGGCTGACGCTCTATCCACTGAGCCAAACCGGTCTCAGCAAAGTGACCTGTTTTTATTAAAAGCTTTGTTATCAGAAGTAGAAAGTATGTAAAAGATATAGAGATGCAGTATAAAAATTCAAAAAAGATGATGTGAATTCAAATGTGAAGTAGATACAAACCTCAAATGTGTATCTGGGAAGTGTAAGGAGCAATTAAATGTGATAGAGAAGCCTAATAGGGGATGAATCAGGAAGGCAAAGCAAGGACTTTCCTGAAAGGACATAGTATAGTCTCTTGTTCAATGCAGAAGCTGGTTATATGAAATGTAGGCTTTTTTTTTTTTTTAATCTAAGTGGCTTCAAGGAATAGAAGTCTAGAGTACAATCTTGTCAGTTCTTTCCTTCACCTACGTGGTGCAGCAGTTAGGAGCATTTCAAGTATGAAAGAAGTGAGGAATGCAAACCAGAGCCCCCTGCTTCCATGCCTCACTCATACTAAAATAATCAAATGGGTTTAAAGAGTCACCCTTACAGAGATATTGATTAATTTGTAAAGAAGGAAAATATTTTTAAAGTAGCAAAAACATTTGGTAAAATCAGCACTTGGTTACTGATTGGTTTTTGCTCTCCTTTACCTTCATTAAAGATTAGGATTTAATTCATATTTATATACACTTTGTTATTTGTAAGACAGCTACATAATTTTAAATGATCAAGACCAGAAAGAAAAACTAAAATAATCAAATCAAGAGAAAATTTTAAGTCAAACTGAGCTTAATGGATGCTGTTTTTCTCTCTTTTTTTTTTTATGTTTGGGATTGGGTTTTAGTAATTCCATATAATCCTTCAAGTCATGAGAGTTTGGACCAAGTTGGTGAAGAAAAGGAGGTAAGTTAATTAGTCTTTTTTAAAAAAATATGTTTAAAACTAGTTGGTTTTTAAATAAAAATGTTTAAAATAATTGTTCATGTTAGTTTATTGAAGGTTAATTAGTCTCATTGTACATTATGCCATGAGCTTTTTAAAAAAATCCTCACCGAGGATATACTTCCATTGATTTTTAGAGAGACTGGAAGGGAGGGGGAGAGACAGAGAGAGAGAAACATTGATGTGAGAGAGACACACATGGATTGGTTGCCTCCCTCATGCACCTGGACCAGGCCTGGGGATTGCACCTGCAATGGAGGTACATGCCCTAGACTGGAATAGAATCTAGAACCCTTCAGCTTGTGGGCTGATGCTCTATCCACTGAACCAAACCGGCTGTGCCATGCCATTACCCTTTTAATAAGACTTGACAATGTAAAAATATGACAAATTGACTTGCTTAGATTTTTCTTGTTTCTGTCTTTTTTTTTTTTTTTTTTTTTTTTAACTTGAGTTCTTTTTTGGTACTTGGGTTCTGGCTAGGAAAGAATTCAGAACCAAGAAGACCCAAACTGTAAGAGAACATTTATTTGGTAAATCAAAGAGGTAGGAGAAGTAATTCCTAGAAGAAATGGACTTAGGAAACAAGTTATGGAGATAAAGGAAAGGCTGTTGGAGCTTGGGAGTGAGGAAGCTAGTGGTAACATGCCTGGAGCAGGGAGGGGGAGGGGATGGGAAAAGCGAAAGGCATGGGAGTGTGTCTGGGAGGGAGAGCCTTTTCTTGTTTCTTGAGGTAGGCTTGCGTTTCTGTGAATTTCCCTCTTAGGACTGCTTTCACTGTGTCCCATAGATTTTGGGGTTGTGTTTTCATTTCATTTGTCACAGGTATCTTTTGATTTCTTCCTTGATCTCGTTGTTAACTCATTCATTGTTTAGTCTCCATGTTTTTGTGTATTTTCCAGTTATTTTCTTGTAATTGATTTCTAGTTTCATACCACTACAGTCAGAAAAGATGCTTAAAATTATTATTATTATTTTTAAAATATATTTTATTGATTTTTTACAGAGAGAAAGGGAGAGAGATAGAGAGTTAGAAACATCGATGAGTGAGAAACATCGATCAGCTGCCTCCTGCACATCTCCTACTGGGGATGTGCCCGCAACCTAGGTACATGCCCTTGACTGGAATCAAACCTGGGACCCTTCAGTCCGCAAGCCGACGCTCTATCCACCACGCCAAACCGGTTTCGGCTGCTTAAAATTATTTTAATCTTCTGAAATTTATGAAGACTTGTTTGTGACCTAATATGTGGTCTCTCCTGGGAAATGTTCTCTGAGTGCTTGAAAAGAATGTATATTCTGCTGCTTTGGGGTGAAATGTTCTAAAAATATCAATTACATACATTTGGTCTAATATGTCATTTAAGGTTGCTATTTCCTTCTTTTTCTCTCTCCTTTTTCCCCCCTCCCCTTGACCTTCCCATAGCCTCCTATACCCCCCTGTGTCTTGTGTCCATTGGTTATGCTTATATGCATGCATACAAGTCCTTCAGTTGATCTCTTACCCATCCCCCCAACCCTCCCTGGCCTTCCCGCTGTAGTTTGACAGTCTGTTCGATGTTGCTCTGCCTCTGTGTCTATTTTTGTTCATCAGTTTATAATGGTCTTAATTATCCATAAATGAGTGAGATCATGTGGTATTTTTCTTTCATTGACTGGCTTATTTCATGCTATTTCCTTCTTAATTTTGTCTGGGTGATCTATCCATATTTGCCAGTTGGGTGTTAAAGTCCCCAATAATTGCTGTCGACCTGACCCTATACTTCCATCAATATTTGCTTTATGAATGTAGGTTCCCCTAATTGGGTGTGTAAATGTTTACAGGGTGATATCTTCTTGCTGGGTTGATCTCTTTACTATTATGTATTGTCCTTCTTTGTCTCTTAGAGCCTTTGTTTTAAAGTCTATTTTGTGTAATAGAAGTATTGCTACCCCAGCTTTTTTGTTTATTTCCATTTCCATGAAATATCTTTGTCCATCCCTTTATATTCTGTCTGTGTGTGCCTTTTGATCTGAAATAAGTCTCTTGTAGACAGCATATGTATGGGTCTTATTTCTGATCCATTCAGCCACCCTGTGTCCTTTGATTGGAGCATTTAATCCATTTACACTTAAAGTGATTGTTGATAGGTATATAGTTATTGTCATTTTGTTATTCATATTTGTTTTTCTTTTATTCTTAAAGAAGTCCCTTTAACATTTCTTGAAATACTGGTTTGGTGATGATGAATTCCTTTAGCTTTTTCTTATCTGGGAAGCTCATCATTTCTCCTTTGATTTTTTAAATGATAGCTGTGCTCGGTAGAGTAATTTTGATTGTAGGTCATTGTTTTTCATTGCTTTGAATATTTTATGCCAATTCCCTCTGACCTATAAAGTTTTTGTTGAGAAATCAGCTGACAGTCTATGGGAGCTTCCTTGTAGGTAACTAACTGTTTTTCTCTTGCTGCTTTTAATAGTTTCTCTTTGTCTTCAGTCTTTGGCGTTTTAATTATAATGTGTCTTGTTGTAGGCCTTTTGAGGTTTGTCTTGTTTGGGACTCTGTGCCTCCTGGACTTGTGTATCCATTTCTTTCACCATGTTAAGAAAGTTTCCAATCATTATTTCATCAAATCAGTTTTCAATCCTTGCTCTCTCTCTTCTCATCTGGTTACCCCATGATGCAAATGTTGGTACACTTGATGTTCCAGAGGTCTCTTAAACTGTCCTCATTTTAAAAAATTCGTTTCCTCTTTTTCCTGTTCTGATTGGGTGTTTTCCACTGACTTGTCTTCCAAGTCACTGATTTGATCTTCTGCTTTATCTAACCTACTGTTGATTCTTCTAGCATATTCTTTATTTCAGGTATTGGATTCTTCATTTAAGATTTTTTTTTTATGGCACCCATGTCCTTTTTTATGTTTACTCTCTCTTTGTTGAAGTTCTCACTTAGTTTATCTATTCTTCCTCTAAGTTCATTGAACTCTGTACCTGGTAGATTTCTTGCTTCCATTTGATTTAGCTTTTTTCTGGCGTTTTCTCCTGTACTTTCATTTGGGGTATGTTTTTTTGTCTCCTCATTTTGGCTACCTCTCTGTGTTTAGTTTTGGGCACTAGGTAGATCAGCCATGTCGTCCAGACTTGGCAGGATAGCCTTCTGTAGTAGGTGTCCTGAAGGGCACAGTGACAGTCTTCCTGGCCACCTGAGTTGGATGCTTCAGGATATCCCTTGTGTGGATTGTCATGCCTTCCCATTGTAGTTGAGCCTGGATTGCTGTTTGTTTGTCAGTGGGTATGGCTGACCCTCAGGCTGAGTGGTTATGAGGAATGGCCACAACCACAGTGATATTCACCCCAGTGGGGCTGTGGTGCTTGGTATGTGCCATTTTTGGAACTAATTGGTTGGTGCTCTGTTGTGGTCTTAGGCTGGCCAGTGGGCGCGTTGGTTCTGGAGCCTGTTGTAAGGGGCTTTGGTGTAGGCGGAGGTCATCTGCTACCTATGCCCAGTCCAGGGACACCGGTAGAGCTACAAAGTGATCTGAGGTTGGCAGCTATGTGTGCTGGACCCAGAGGTCTGTGGAAGAGGGCAAGGTGTAACCCTGAGGTTGGTTACCAAGGCACAGGGCATACCAAGGGTAACCACCACCTGCCTGGGGCCTGCAGACCTTGGGGGATTTTTTAAGAAAGCTCTTGGTGGGAGCTGAGGCTGCCTATGAGGCACAAGCCACTGAAAGAGCCAAGGCAGTGTGTGAGTTGGGCGGAGTGGGGTCTTAGGGTGTCACCACCGTGGGGTAAGCATTTTTTACCAGGTTAATGCAGATTCAGATTTGGTGCCCACCTACCTCTAAAGCGGTGGTTCTCAACCTTCTAGCCCTTTAAATACAGTTCCTCATGATGTGACCCAACCATAACATTATTTTTGTTGCTACTTCATAACTGTAATGTTGCTACTGTTATGAATCGTCATGTAAATATCTGATATGCAGGATGGTCTTAGGCGACCCCTGTGAAAGGGTCATTCGACCACCAAAGGGGTTGCGACCCACGGGTTGAGAACCGCTGCTCTAAAGGCTGTGTTAGGGGAGGGTTCAGCACAGGACAGTGGTGGCCCTCACCCCAGAGCCATTCAATTCGCGTTCTCCCCATATGTCTTGTGCCGTGTGAGCTGCTGGCCCTTTGTGGAAGCTCAGGGTGACTGCCTGTGAGCGATTGAGTCTCTGTGCGGGCCCTTTAAGGGGACTGCTGGGCTTTGAGCAGCCTTCTGTCTGACCTGGAAGGAATCCCCAGAGTTGGGTGGGTCGGGATCTCAGTGAGTCACCAGGAATAGGTGAGTGGTGTTTACCTGTTTAATGCAGATTCAGATTTGGCACTTGCCTGCCCCTGGAGGCTCTGTGAGGGGGGCTCAGTGGGGCTTTCGCCTTGAAGACACACAACTCAGTCTTTCCCAGAATGTCTCCGGTGCCTTTGGAGCTGCTTACCCTTTGCTGGAGCTCAGGGTGAGTGCCTGTGAGCAACTGAGTCTGTGCACGGGCCCTTTAAGAGGACACCTGGATTTCCAGTTGCCCTCCATCTCACTCTGCTGGGACGGAATTGCTGCTGCTTTCACATCCAACTGTTGCAGGGACTACTCTTCCTGGCACTGGATTCCTGGGATAGGAGCTGGTGTGGGGCTGGGGCCCCTCTCTCCTAAGAGGGACCTCTGCTGCTAGGCTGTCCCTCCTGACTCTCAGCTGCCACATGTGGGTGTGGGGCCAGCCTGTTTCGAGTCTCTGCCCTTCCTACAGGTCTTGATGTGGCCCCGTCTTTATATCCTTAGTCAGAGCAGCTCCGTTCAGCTAGTCTTCAGGTAGTTCTCCAGGTGGATTGCTCTATTTTTTAGTTGTAATTTTGATGTGGGAGGAGGTGAGCAGAGTGCTTAACTACTCCACCATCCTGACCAGAATCCATTTGACATTGTTTTGCTAGTCTATTACTGGTTGCTCTAGGGATTGCATCTTACATCCTTAACTTATTTAAATTCAATAACAATTACTAATTATACTTTTCCCTTTTCCCATCATGTACAAGGACCTTAAAATACATTAAATTTACTTACCCTCCCTTTCTGCCTTTGGTGCTATTTTTGTCACATTTAAAAGTGTGTGTGTGTCTGTGTGCGTGTGTGTCTGTGTGTGTGTCTCTGTGTGCGTGTGCATGTGTGTCTGTGTGTGTGCACGTGTGTGTCTCTCTGTGTGTGTGTGCGCGCGTGCAGTCAATCCTTATTTAGATGTAATCTATATTTTATTCTTTTTTTCTACATTCCTTCCTGCATGTCTTCCCTCCCATATTAGATCATCTTTCTTGAAGAATTCAGTGTTTCCTTTAGAGAGAGATGACTTGTGATGGATAGATATCCTTAGTTAATGTTCATCTGAAAAGGTTTTTATTTCACTTCTTTTTAAAAAAAAATGTATTTTATTGATTTTTTACAGAGAGGAAGGGAGAGGGACAGAGAGTCAGAAACATCGATGAGAGAGAAACATCGATCAGCTGCTTCTTGCACACTCCCCACTGGGGATGTGCCTGCAACCAAGGTACATGCCCTTGACTGGAATCGAACCTGGGACCCTTCAGTCCACAGGCCGATGCTCTATCCACTGAGCCAAACCGGTTGGGGCTTCACTTCTTTTTTTGAAGGCATTTTTGCAGAATATAAAGCCGTAGGTTTAGCAGGAGTTGGGGTTAGGTTAGGCCCTTTGAAGGTAATGTTCTTGTGTTCTGGCTTCTGTAGCTTCACCCAGTCTTCCCAGTTAGTGCTTATGTCCATTTGACTCTCTTTTATAGTTTACTGTCAGCCATATGAAGTCTGTACATTGCTTTGCTTCTAACTATTCTCTGCTTTCTTAATTGACCTAATCTGGTTTTTCCTTACTCCTCTTTATTTATTCATTTTACCAATTCAGATTATTCTAAATTTTGATGTGTGATCCTTCTTTTTAATCTTTTAAAAAAGTTTTCATTACACACACACACACACACACACACACACACACAGTGCTTATTTGTTTATCTTTCTCAAAATTTACTATTTGCTCTTCTTGATTCTCTTCACTTCAGGAAATTCATACTTAATTCTCATGGGTACATCTGTTGATTGTATGCTGAGAATTTTGCAGCTATCTAATAAAAGATCATCTTCAGTCTTCTCTATAAATGACCAGAAGCCTACGTTTCTAGTTGTGAATGAATTATAAGGCTCTTATTGTCATGTCAGGGGAGCCTTGGTGTTGTGTAGAAAAGAAGGTTTTCTAGTAGCTGAACTGCCTCATGCTTGTTTTCTGCTTATAGTTCCCAGTGTTTCTGAATGTGTCCTTTCATTAGCTCAGATTTCAGATATCAGACTTCCAGCAGACTCGTTCATCTTGCTGTCCCATTATAACTTCTAACTACAAAATGAAAACCCAAGCTCATTATCTTATTTCATGCTCATACTTACATTTTCTGTCAGTGTACCTCCGCTCTCCCAGTCACCAAGGTTAGTGTCATTTTTATTCATGCATCTCCGTTATATCCCAAAGTTTTACCAGAACCTTTTTAAAAAATTGATTTCAGAGAGGAAGAGAGATAGAAATATCACTGATGAGAGAGAATCATTGATTGGATGCCCCCCCCCCCCCCCGGGGATCCAGCCTACAACCTGGTATGTGCCCTTGACTGGAATTGAACCCGGGACCCCCCCAGTCCACAGGCTGACACCCTATTCACTGAGCCAAACCAGCTAGGGCTTACCAGATCATTTTAAAAACATCCTTTAGCATTTCTCAGGTTTCAACTCCCCCTCCGTTGCTGTCACCACCCCTCTGACCTCAACTCGTGAATTTGCCCCACTTGAGTAGTTAGATTGCATCGTTTGGAATGATGTTAGAAAAGAGCTGTTAAGAACTTAAATAAGAAAATATTTTTAAAATAGTCATAGGTATAACTAGGTGTTAGAAATATCATATTTATGCAAAATACTTCCAGTTATAACTCTTTTTTAGTTATTAATCCTCATGCAAGGATATTTTTTCTATTGATTTTTTTTTAGAGAGAGCGGAAGTGGGGTGGTGGGGAGTGAGAAACATCAATTGGTTGCCTCACCCATGTGCCCTCACTGGGGGCCGGGGATCAAGCCTGCAACCAAGGTACCTGCCCTTAACTGGAATTGAACCCATGACTCTTCAATCCTCAGGCCAATGCTGTAACCACTAAGCCCCTGCTAGGGCCAGTTATAACTGATATAACTGTTCTCAACAGGCAATGAACACCAGGGAAAGTGGCAAAGCATCATCCAGTCTAGGTCTTCAGGATTTTGATTTGCTCCGGGTAATAGGAAGAGGAAGTTATGCCAAAGTACTGTTGGTGCGATTAAAAAAAACAGATCGTATCTATGCAATGAAAGTTGTGAAAAAAGAGCTTGTCAATGATGATGAGGTAAGCACAATGTTTTATTACTTCTAAACTGTTAAATTGACTTAATTGTACCATTTCAGAGAAAACCTCATTGTTTATGACTTATTTCAGTCTCTTTTTCTAAATAATGCCTCAAATGGGTTATATAAAATATTTTTAAAGAAATCTGATGGTTATTAGGTTTTTAAAAAATAAAAATCAAACCATATTATGATCAAGGGAAAGTACTTGATTGAGCTTTGAAAAAGTTTTCTAAACCATTTCATAATATTGAAATATTTACTGGTAGTATTTTTTTTCTCTTTGCATATAAATTGTTGTTGCATGATTATTCATTCTTTGATATTTAGCATAGTTAGTTAATAATTGCATTTGTGATCATTGAATTGCCAAGAACAAATATAGTTTGATGATATTTCAGTTTGGTAAATATTTCTTTCATATTTTAAAATAGGATATTGACTGGGTACAGACAGAGAAGCATGTTTTTGAGCAGGCATCCAATCATCCTTTTCTTGTTGGGCTGCATTCTTGCTTTCAGACAGAAAGCAGGTAAGGTTGGAAGATAATAGAGTGATTACAGGCTTTACATACTTTGCATATTACATAATAAGAACTCTTCATACTATAAATCCTGAAGTGGAAGTCATGGAGACAGACACAACAGTATGATGCTTATGATTTCCTGACACCCAAACGCCAATTAGTGATATCTGTTTGGATTAGCATGAAGAAATTATCTGCTTAAAAAATATACCCTGGTCAGGGCCGGGGGGCAGTGGGGTGTGTGTGAAGAATGTAGAGGGAGACAATGGGGAGGAAAAAAGGGAACATCTGTAATACTTTCACCATAAAGATGAATTTATATATATGGTCAAAATATGGCAGTAGAGATCCATACTTTTAAATATCCCTAAGGTTTTAGCTTTAGATGTAAAGTTTCTCAGAGTTTAACTAGGGGGAGAAATCCTAACTTCTTTACCTTAAGGGACAGTTGAAGTGACTTATCACCTTAACGTTAGAATTGGGGTGGGAGTGGGAGGTTCTGGATTGCAATTGGTACTACAGAAGTAGCAGGTTACGGAATTACTACCATACTGGTTTACTTTCTTGTATCTACTGTGATTAACAGCTTTCTACTACTACCACCCTTTGTTTCCACCAAATTCCTGGGACTTTTGTACAGGGTAAATCACAGAATGCTCTTTATGTTGTGACTGGTCTCTACAACGTTTAAAATGCACAGTTACATTTCCTTCTTTTGGACCTTGGTTTCATGTGTTCTCTCCTATGTTTTAGATTGTTCTTTGTCATAGAGTATGTAAATGGAGGAGATCTAATGTTTCATATGCAGAGACAAAGAAAACTTCCTGAAGAACATGCCAGGTAAATTTCTTGATTATTGTTTGTGTTGGGATTTTGGGGAGCAGCTATGGGACTTTTATGTGCCTGTGGTTGAAAACAGTAGATAAATTATTGATTTTGATACTAGTTAATTCTTTGTAAGTAATGGGAACTAACCTAAAAGTTATTTTGCATTATAATATTTTACAATATATACCATTATATAGTATGTAATAATAAAATTATAAGCTTTTGTAAAGTAGAAACAGTATTAGAGGGGAAACCTTTAGTCAACTAAACCTAATTGCTTTAAAATATTTTAGCATCAGCCTCTGAAATAATTGAATTTACAAATACTTATTAATCGTACCAGGTTTGCAGTGATCTCTGACAGTTGTTCATTAGATGATTATTATTCATACTAGAGGCCCGGTGCACAAAAATTTGTGCACTCAGGGGGAAGGGGGCGTCCCTCAGCCTGGCCTGTGCCCTCTCTCAGTCTGGGACCCCTTGGGAGATAACGCCCTGCTGGCTTAGGCCTGCTCCCGGGTGGCAGAGGGCAGGCCCAATCCCTAGGTGCAGCCCCTGGTCGGGCTCAGAGCAGGGCTGATTGGGGA